AACCATTTTTTAGGTTCAGCCTCAGAACATTAAAAGTTTTTGTATTGAACAAACTTCCATGGGAGATCAACTACAGATTTGAGGTAGCAGTCTTAACTTCAACAAACCATTTTTTAGCTTCAGCGTCAAACATTAAAAGTTTTTTTTATTGAACAAACTTCCATGGTAGATTAACTACAGATTTGAGGTAACAGGTTTAACTTCTTCAACAAACCACATGTTCAAATTAATAAGAAAATTATTAATTGTAAACACTATATGGGGAGGGAGGGAGGGGGAGTGATCTGTAATGTTAAAAACATTGGATGAAGAAAATTGAAAAAAGTAGTTACAAACAGTGGATGAGAAATGGTTTAGTAAGATTAGAACGTGAAAATTGTTAATAAACATTGAGTGGGGAGTGTTTTTTTTCATGTTTCAAAAACATGATGATAGTAGTTAACAAACATTCACTGTTTCGCCTCTAATGTAGATGTTGGCTACCAAGATTCTCTGTCCAATCCTATTATAGAGATCTGCATAGCTGAATTATCGAAAAACCATTATTAAAACCAAAACAACTTTTATGAAGCTAAATTTGCAGGCCTGGGTTACCAAGTTAAATCTATATATATATATATATATATATGCTATACCAAGAGATCTTACTAACTACCAAGTTAAATTCATCTTTAGTACAAGCGTACAGCCCATCAAAAACATCGGAACAAATACTACCACCCTCACTCAATAGTATAATCTAACCTCATATTTCATAGCTAACTGAAATAAATACATTTTGTGAAATCAAGTTTGATAAAAAAAGAAGCTGTCGTGGCACTCATATAGTTATTGGCAAAAATCAGATTAACAATTTCTAATATATACAAAATCCAAAGCGCTTTGTTAACGCTATGTTCCAGTAATGGTGTTTGTGTCATGTTGCTTAGAAACAAAGTATAATTTAATATTATTGTTAGTCTATGTACTGAAAATATAAAATGAAATGTATAGACAACAAAACTGGAAAAATTTGTTGATTTCTTAACTTAGTCTCCATTAATTAAAGAAATTTGATTTTCATTTAAAATGTTTGTAATTATAGAAAACAGCTTAATTTAAAAATGAATCGATATTTTTACTTTCATGATAATTTTTATGCTCTATATTGGTAATCCCACACAGTCTCTTTACTTTAGGCTTACTATACCGACACTCACTATACTTACAAGGTTTTACGGCATCCCATCACTAAAATTGTAATGGATAGACAGTAATTGAACTATTCTATCTGGATAAATGCATTTTGGCTTTTATGATTCCTCCTAGTTCGAGAAATAACACTTAATGTGACATACACTGGCTTTTATATAGGTTAGACACCAAAAGTTGTTACTAACCTGCAGGGTTCATATGGGTTTTAGAATGTCTTGGAAAAATAAGAATTTAACCGCAGGGTTTTGGAAAAGTTGTGGAAAATGAAAATTTTCTCCTGTCAGTATTATAAACCAGTTTTCCATAATATGTTTATTTACATCACATATCAATGATCTTCCGAGTGAGCCCTTAGTGTTTTCCCCTAGTGGCAAGCATGTGCTGCACATGTTCATGCATGACTAGCAACTTGAATTACTTCAGAGGTACAAAGTTGAAGGAGGCCGTCAATGTCCGAGCCTTGCCATTCAAGCAATTATAGAATTGCAACTTAACCATTTTTTCCATCATTATTTTTATGTTCTGTAGTACTGACTTGAATGCATACTTGTATAAAACATGCCAACAAGGAATGGCTCGTTATGAATGCACATCGCCAAGAAGCTTGTTATAATATGTGAGAGTTTTGACATCGTTATCACGTGCAACAAGAGATAGATGTGCTTTGGTTCCGACAACTGAAAGACTGTCTCTTCACAGCTTTCTCTCTCTCGGCTCGAGTCAGCATCTTCCACATCTTAACCATTAACCAAAATTAAGCCCAGAGACTACATCCAAATTTGTTTGGCTTTAACATTTTCCTCATGCAGGGTGAAGAGGAACACAAGTTTCAGATCTCTGATTGTCTATGAGGCTTCAAAGATTTTTAAACTTAAATTCCTGCCACAAATTTGCTTTGGTTTACGGGCGAGTCTGTAGTGATAAATCATACAAATGGGAAAAACACGAGACTAATATGCATAAATTGAACTCGTCAACAGCAGCCAAGTCTACTAAAATCTTTTGATAACTAGATTTCTTGATTCTCCATTTCTCAGCCACACGTGGGATAATGATCATTTAAGACATTTCTTACAGCTGACAAAAGAGCTTAATCTTAGTCATGGATGGACAGTTCAAATGTTAACTCATCATTCCAGGAGAAATTAGAATCAGAGTTAAGAACTCTACCCAGATGGATATGCACTTACATTTTGTTCTACCCCATGGGTTGAGAATACACGTGTTGCACAAAGGGCAACTGAAATTATTCCAAATATACATCAAATCAAACTCTTGCACAGTACCAAATAGTCATGCATTTAATACCGTGAAATACAAGTCACCAAGGATGCACGAACCCTATAACTACCAAGTTCGATCTATCTTTAGTATACCAAGAGTTGTTACTAACTGCCAATTTAGATCTGTGGACTAGGGTTTTAATCTTTATCATGGAACTGTTGTTTAATCACAAGATCTGAATTTAAACACTACTAAAGATGAAGCTATCTTGATTAAATCAGGGTAACTTTCTAATTAAAAGGTTTTTTTTTTGTTTGTTTGTTCCCAAAAACTACTTGTTTAAAGATAAATTATTTGTTTAAATTACATCTTTGTAACAGAAAAAAAAACACAAAAAAAGTTATTTTACTGATAAAACATTAGTTTTCAAGAAATGGCGTATTGGTCGTCTTAGAAATAAATCAATACTTTCTGAAGAAATACATTCAGAGAAACAGTGTCACATTAATATTTTAGCTACCAGAAGAACACTTGAGGGAAGGAATTATGGTTTTTTTGGGGGGGAAAGAGAATGTGAACAAGTATATAACATTATTACAGTTGTAGTGAAAAATCAAAAAAAGTTTTTGTACTTTGACAAAAATAAAAGTCAATTAACTTTCTAACCAGACTGACATTTAGTGTCAATAATTAATGGTTCTGAGAACAACAGTTTTGTCGCATACCACAGATTTAACTAATTGGGTTAGTTACCAACATTCAAATACAAATAATAACAGGTAATGCCATCAATATTTTTAATACTTGAATTTCAAAAGAACTAAGCTTCCTTTACTGGAGCTTATATTCACAAGTACTCATGGAAGACCAATTATACAAAAATTACAAACTTGGGTGAAATCAAAAACAGTCGACAAAATGAAAGTCTGTAAAGTTGAAACTCCTGAGACAAAATATTACCCCACCCCATAACAAAGCATGAGTAGTTCATTAATAATGCAGTCTTGCAGTGTCTATGCTGTCTAAAACTAATGACACAAAATTTGTTAAAAATATATTATATAACAAATGACTTCTCTTTAACATTCCTTATAAAAAAAAATTAATTCAGAGATTCATAAATTCAACATACAGAGGAGAATTTTTTACTCGACAAAACCACCTAGAAAATCTGGTAATTTAAAAGAAAAAGATTGTACTATTCTTTATCACATTTTTTGTGTGTGTGTGTTTATGAATATATAACAACTAATAGCATAGGACAGTACAGAATTAATACAAATTTGTAAGAGAAAACCTTAAAATCAGTTTTTCTTGCACATGTACTATAATTACAAATACAGAATTGTCGTAAAAAAAAATATTTTACTGTAATGTCTTTCTCTAATATCTCTCATTTTAAGACTGCAATAATTTCGTATATATATATACACACATACAGAGTTTAAACACAACCATGAGTGCATGAAAACTTCACGGCCAGTGTTCACTTTGGCAGACTGGACATCAAGAGTAGAGAGAGAAAGAACATCACGCACATTTTCCATTGCATCTTTTTTTGTCTTTCCTTTCAAACAGTTCCTCTGGATGGGCAAGTCCTGTAACAGCCAGTTAAACCAACATATTAGAGCTTCCACTCCAATAACATACCATTAATCCTTCAAATATATTTAAGTAAAATTTACAGTTTACACATTATTTTATAGTTTCACCTTACTTAAAACATGTACTGATCCAGTCAAAACAAATACGATGAAATGTATTATCAGTCATATTAGTGTGTAATATCGTGTATCTTGGCCACGAAATAATTTTACTTTCCAGCCTAACCGATGTACACAGTTTTATAGAATTAGTATTTCATGACCAAATGATGTACAATTTAAGTTAAAAACGGTTTGTTATGATTTACTCGTAAAGCTGTAGGTGTGATCATCTCTGGCATTTCATGAAAAATGTAGTTAGTTACAACCTACAACAAATATAGTACACTTGAAATGCTATTATACACTCACCTTATAGGAATTCAACAGGAGGTCAATAACAAATGTACATTAAAATCGGTATCTGTCTTATTGTGATTTAATATCTTTCACTTCACGATACTAGAAAAGCAACCTTCAGAGTTATGTTTTATTACAAACGCAAATATGTGGCGATGATGGCAGCAAACATATCAAGACAGTGACATTAACGGTAGAAGATAGATAAAAGAAACTTGAAAATTTTGTCAGTATTTAGGACCATTATTTATATTGTAACATGTTATAGGGAAGTATTGAAAATTACTGAAATACATGCACATCATATAGTTAAACATACATACACAATACAGAATAGACCTTGGATTAAATGTTTTACATTACATTGGGCAGTAGTGTGTAGTTTACACTCTGAACATCTAGGTTTGAGCATTGGGTGAGAAGCATTACTTTAATACTGTCACGAGGAGCATCTAGGTTTGAACATTGGGTGAGAAGCATTGCTTTAATACTGTCGCTAGGAACATCTAGGTTTGTGCATTAGGTGAGAAGCATTACTTTAATACTGTCACTAGGAACATCTAGGTTTGAGCATTGGGTGAGAAGCATTACTTTAATACTATCACTAGGAACATCTAGGTTTGAGCATTGGGTGAGAAGCATTGCTTTAATACTGTCACTAGGAACATCTAGGTTTGAGCATTGGGTGAGAAGCATTGCTTTAATACTGTCACTAGGAACATCTAGGTTTGAGCATTGGGTG